ACATCCTCAGCCCCCTGCAAGCACCATGTACTGAAGGCTTATTCCCATCTATGGCACTACTCGAAAGTGGTAGAACACCTTTAACAGGTGGATCTTTGCTGGGTGTGTGCCAGTCAAATGGAGGAGTGACCTTGAAGGGGACACTGGGACTCTAAAGTTCCTTTCTTCTACTCTATGGAGATGAGTAGGTGGTTTCACCATATATTTCCCACCATGATATACTGTTTCACCACAGACTCAATCAAGGACTGAAACTTCCAAAACTAAGAGCTAAAAGCAAACATTTCCTTCTATTAAGTTAACTATCTCAATTCTTTTGTTATCGTAATGGGAAGCTAACACATTTCTTGGGTTTAAAGAGTTCTTTGTATGTTTCGGGCACAAGTTTCTAATCTTAGCTCCTGCACTCTTAGGATGGCATCATTTTTCTCTCCAGTGTTTCTGGCCTTGTCTCTGTAATGAACAATTTTGTCTTTGTATGTATGTAGATTTCTCTCCTATCTTTTAAAAAAATCGTTATCTTGAGTCTTCCTCTCCAATTTCTCCACTTCCTATATCTGACATATTCACTACAATCTTAGATTTGCTCCTACCTTTTATATCATTTCTTCAGTAATCCTTTGCAATTTGACTTGTAACAACCTCTTCTATTCAAAATGTTCAATGCAAGTGTTCCAAATGACTGTCTTGCAATATTCAGCAGTATTTCATATTTCCTTTCCTATGACATTTTTGCTTCATTTGATACAGTTTATGGGTTCATAAAATTATTCTTCTTATGGGGTTCATGAAACATTAGTATTCTAGCTGATATCCTCGCCTATGAAAATCCATTAATGTTGTATTTACACTTTTGCTCTTTTTTTAAATTTTTAGAACTATATATTCCCGCACCTTCCAATTCTAGGTCTCTCTAGTCAATCAAAATTCTTCCTGACTGGTCTCGAGCTTCCTGTAAATTCAGATTTACTAACTTTCCTTCAGATTCTTTGTCACAGTCACCCCCATTTCCTTGCATTTACTGATTTAGTTTCAATGTACATGCTTCAAGGTCACGGAGCATCTTATTTACCTTTGCAAAATATAGGAGGATATTAAAATGTTTGTCTAAAATTATATTAGACTTTTAGACTTCTTGTCAAAATAGTACTTCCTACCAACCTCTCGTTATCAAATCCTCTGAAAGCAAGAATACAAGGTTTTTTGTTTTTTTTTTTTGTTTTTGGGTCCGGTCGTGGGGCTTGAACTCTGAGCATGGGCGCTGTCCCTCAACTCTTCAGCTCAAGGCTAGCGCTCTACTACTTGAGCCACAGCACCATTTTCGGCTTTTTTTCTTTTTGCTTATGTGGTGCTAGGGAATCAAACCCAGGGCCTCATGCATGCAAGGCAAGCGCTATACCACTGAGCCACTTTCCCAGCCCTGGAATATAGGTTTTTATTCCCTGACAGCCTTTCAGGATTCTGGGTGTGCAGAAGCTCCTTAACAAATATGTTTAATAAATTAATGTGAAAAGTTTTGTTATAAGAGTAATGCTGATTGTGTCATCAATATTGCCACTTTGAGTGAAATCAAGGTAGGAAGTTGTGTGAGACTTTTGTCTTTCAGTAACCAGCAAAGCCAGGAGTAGCCTTGAGGGAAAAAGCTAAAGGACAGCACCCAGGCATGAGTTCAAGCTCTAATACTGGCACTGCCACTGCCACTGCCACACACACACACACACACACACACACACACACACACACACACGCACGCACGCACGCACGCACACAATTTTAGCGTGTAGAAATGGCTTCAAGGGGGCAATTATTTCCAAATTACACATTACACATAAACTCAGAACACATGAAATTTAAAAGAACTAAAGGTTTATTAAGTAAAGAGCTTAAGGCTTAAGACTTAAGGTAAAAAAACATATGGCCAGGCAGGCACGGGTGGCTCACACCTGTAATCCTTGATACCTAGGACGCTGAGATCTGAGGATCACAGTTCAAAGCCAGTCTAGGCTGGATAGTCCATGAGACTCCTATCTCCAATTAACTACGAGAAAACTAGAAGTGGCTCAAGTGGTAGAGATTTGCCTTGAGCTGAAGAGCTTAGGGGCTGTGCCCAGGCTTAGAGTTCAAGCCCCACTGACTGACAAAAACAAAACAAAACAAAAAACATGGTCGAGGGGCCAACCTAATACACAACTCTCCTAAATTCTGTTCTGTATTTAGTCTTTTCCTCCCTAAGGGACAATAAAAGATGTTCGGTTTAACTCTCTATAAAGGATTATGCTGCAAATTTACTTAAAACAAATCTTTCATCTTTGCCAGCAACTCCATTTCACAGTCTCCTTTTTTTTAAGAATAATTTTTTCTTAGCATCTATTAGTTGTACAAGGGGGTTCCATTTTGATACATTTACTTCATAGATTCTGAATCAAACAAAAGATATTCCCAGACGTTCATCATGGTTCCCAAGTTAAGAAACACATAAGAGACAAGAATGGATGCCAAAGTCAGGTCTCCTGAGTTCAAATGACCAGCAGTACATGAATCCATTTTTATGTCCATCTTTTGAAAAATAAAATTTCTTTTTCAGGGAAAACATTGTCTGGAAGACTCATTATAAAGCTGTGATTCAGGACATCCCACACATACATGAATATTTTGCAGATAGTATCCTTCCTGGTAAAAATCTGAAATTATGATTTTGATGAACTCTGAACAATACGCTTCGCAGCCAGGAAAAGGCACAAGGGCCAAGTACCCATACCAGGCATAATTTCTGAAGGTTTCAGCTTTCCATGTGGTTCTCTGTAACAATATTCAGCTTGATTGTGCAATCAGCTACACTAGAGCTTTAAAATTCAATCTAGTAGATATAGACTCTCAGGAGGAATTACAACAGTAAAAGATTACTATTAACTAGGCACAAATAAATTTATGTGAATATTCTCTCATCAGATGCAATGAAACATGTTTCTCTGTCTCAATTCAGTACTAAGAGATTTAGTTTTTCTTTAATGCAAATGAAATAATTATATCTAGTAGCAGTACTGAGGGAAAAAGCCAAACTCAGCAATCAGACTTTCTGTGCACAAAGAATGTTTATTTACATCCCTCAACCTCCATATACTCTAAAAACAAGACTCGGGAAGCTACATTCTCTGTGCGAGAGCATTTAAAAAGACTCAAATGCAGTCAACAGATTCTGAGTTGCATGACTTTGGATTTTAATTCTCCAAAACAGCGAGGTCCGTTACTTGAATCTGAACATTTGGATTACTTTTGTTATGCTGAAAACCAAATAGCCAGCCCTCACTAATCCTCCTTAGGATACATTATCACTACTTTGTGTTTTTGAGTGTTTTATTCATATCTTTAAATTTGCTCATGGCAATTTAACTCCCTATATCTAGTTGTGTATATCCTTTGTAGGCTATAAACTCCTGAGGATATAATTTATGCCTTATCTATTTCTGTATTCTCCCAGAATCTTAATGTCTAAGACATATTACCTGCTCAATAAATGGGTTTTTAGACTTAACTGTATATATGCCATATATTTCCCAGGTCTTTGATATATCTTTTCCTTTCTATTTCTAAGAACTCTGTGCTTTGTTTGTTTGCTTGTTTTTTTTGCAGGTACTAGGGTTTTAACTCAGGGCCTTATACTTTCACTTGGCTTTCTTGTTCACAGGTAGTGCTCTACCATTTGAGCTATGCCTCTATTTTGTTGGTTAAAGATGGAATCTTAAAGACTATTCTGCCAGACTGATTTCAAATCATGATCCTTGAGGTCTCTGCTTCCTGAGTTGCTGGGATTACAGGTATTAGCCACCCATTTCTGGAATGTTTTTGAAGCATGAAAAAAAAAATCATCTTTCATTGCAAATGTAATTTAGCCAGCTATGTAAGTAGTAAGGGAGGATCTAACAAATATTTATTGAATGGTATTTTTGTGAAAATTTTCATAGATTTCTTTTGAGGTTTCATCTGTTTAACGGAACCCAGCCATCTCAGTGGGACTGAAGAAAGAAGAAAATTCCAAAACATAATGAGGGGACTATTGTATTTTGGCCCATGCCTATTAGGCCTACAGACAGGCCTATCTACATGATTTGTAGGACTTAGGCCAAGACAGAATTGAAGGGTCAATTGTGCAAAAATTAAGATTTCAAAACAGTGATATGCAGACCATTAGCTAAATGAGGAGCCTACCTAACCACACACCCTTGTATGACTCTATGGTCACACACTTATGAAACCAATTCATTCTGTTCTCAAAAAGCTTCTCTATAGTGGAAAGTAAAAAGGGTCTGTAAATGCTAATACAAGCAAATTTCAAAAACGTACAAGGACTGGCAAGAAGCCATCCTAAGAAAAGGATAGTGAAGCTAATTTTCAGGGAAGGGTTGAACGGAGAAGAAAGCTATTTCAGGTTGGTGTAGCACGGAAGGAAGGAAAAACTTACCTTTATATGTCAGGAATGTGGTTGCTTTTAAGGAGATTGGAACAATGTAATATAGGGATGCAACTGGGATTGAGACTGGAAAGGCCGGTAGAGGACCACACATGGGATGCAGGATTGAACAAACCAAGGGCCTGATGCATGCCGAGTTCATGCTCTCCACTCATTATTATTGTTGCTGTTGTTTCTGTTTCTGTCATTTCTTTTTGGTACTGGAGATTGAAGCCAGGATGTTGCACTTATTAGGCAAGTGCATTGCCATTGAGCAACCTCCCAGCGCCATGTCATCACTTTCAACACAACAGTCTCGTAAATGACCTTCTCCTTATTTTACACAGAGACTAATACAAGCCAGCAAAGCCTTCGGAAGGCTTATCACACAGTCAATAGAGATATGTGGCGCCCAGACCCAGCTGCAGCTAAATGCACTTTGAAATCCTCCCGTGATTCTCAGCGCCTCTCTCCAGGACGTCAAAATGTCTTCTGCTTCTGGCCCCGCCCCGCATTCCCACGTGCCAAAGTCCTTCCGGGTAGCAGAGGTCGTTCCCGGCAAGATGGCGGCCCCCTTGGAGCTCAGTTGCTGGGGAGGCGGCTGGGGACTCCCGTCGGTACACAGCGAGTCCCTAGTGGTGCTGGTGAGGACGCCTCGCGGGCTGGGCGCGGGAGGAGGGGCCCGGGGGTTAGCAGCCGGGTGGACCTGGCTCTGGCTGCCCGCCGCGCGGCGGGGCCCTGGCGGCCCGGGACGCTGCTCGCCGCGCCCCCTGGGCTCACTGGGGCGCCCTGTACCCCCCCGACCCGCGACCCCGCGGCCTCCTCTTGGCTTCCCCGCTGGGCCCCGAGACGCCGCGGCCTCGCGGCGGCGTCTGAGCAGCGCCGTGAGAGCCCTCCCCGCACCTCCAGGACCTTTCTGGGAACTTGGAGTCCCAACTCCGTCCGGTAGCTGCAGCGCGCGTGCGCGCCTCTAGGTGCGGGCAGGGAGCAGGCCGCTGTTCTCAGGGGGAGAGGGGAATGTGAACCAAAATGTGCTGCTCTGCACATTTGCATGACGTCCTCGGTCTGAAATGTTTTCTTGCAAACTCTGTTGCAGGCTTATGCCAAGTTTTCTGGTGCGCCCTTGAAAGTCAATGTTATAGATAACACCTGGAGAGGTTCAAGAGGTACAGTGTGCATTTTTAGATACCCCCTTTTCTGCCCCTTTAAAGTCCCTTCCTTCTGTTTAAAGTTTTGAGGCATATAGCTCTAGGGTACTTTGGGATTTTAGTTTCTTCTTTCCATGCCTTTGGCTGTGTGTTGCTTAGCATTTGAGGAATACAGCAAGCCAACTCAGTGGAAACCAAGAGAAGTGAAAATGTTCTTTAGAGCTGCTCTTTGTGTCATTGAAAAAATAAAGCCTAAGACAGCCTTACTCATTTTTCCCTTCCAACTGCAATTGGTGTTGTTTCTTAAGGTATTCGAATTTTTAGAGGAAATCATAATATTTCCTTGTATGTTATCTGTTTTTGATTATAGGTGACGTACCAATTTTGACAACTGAAGACAGCATTGTTTCTCAGCCTGCAAAAATACTAAACTTTTTAAGGAAACAGGTGGGTGGTTCCTTTTGAAGTAGATTTTGATTCCCGAATGATATTTTTTTTACATTAATTTGTTTGATTCTAGTATTTTAAAAATCCATTAGACAGTTGGAGATACCAGAAGTTTATACCAAGTAGACTTGATAATCACTGCTGCAAAGCATGAGTTTTACTTTGATTTAAAAGTCATGGTGAATTATGCAGATGGTAGCTTTTTGAGGGGCTACTACTTACAGTCAGATTTTAAAGCTTTTGATGTTAAATGTTCCTAAATATTTAATGGTTTCTTTAATTTCTTGTAGCACAGCAAACCTCATAGGAATGAGTATCATAAATTTTGGGGTTTTTAGGATGTTGCATTTTTTAAAATTTTGTAATAAAATTATAGATATTAAAAAAGTCATGGCGAAGTATGGTCAGTTTATTTTTATACACTTTGTTTCCATTTTTATTGAAATTAATATAAAATAAGATTCAATTTAACTATTCATTATTATATTTATTCATAGCAAAGTCAGTTCAGTTACACAGTTGCTATCCATTCTGTACTGGGTACATCTGAGTTCACAAAATAGCAGCTATTTATTTTTAAAAAGCACTTATATGACTGAATAAATTAAATGTTTTATGAAACAGTGTATCTGAAGTGTTTGAACATGTAAATATTTGCCTAATGTATTTAGAATACTTTTAAGCAAAACTTCTGTGCAGGCCAGGTGCAAGTGTCACATACCTGTAATCCTAGTTACTCAGGGGGCTGAAATCTGAGGGTTGTGGTTTGAAGCAACCCTGGACAGGAAAGTTTATGAGACTTAGCTCCAGTTAAAAACCAGAAGTGGGGCCCAAGAGGTAGAGCACTAGCCTTGAGCAAAAAAGCTCAGGGACAACACTCAGCCTCTTGAGTTCAAGCCTAGGACTGGCACAAAAACAAAATAAGATAAAACTACTATGTATTAAAATTATGTTTTTTCTAAATTAGGTTTTCTTTTTTTTTTTCATGGAGAAAAATGTAACCAACTAGAAGTGTTTTCTCTTCCAGTAATTACTTCTATTTGTTAACTTTGTAACTACATGCCATGTTATAAAGTAGGTCTTTAACAACTTTTTAAATAATAGACGTTAATTAAAAAATTATAACTACCATATATCTATTGTATGCCTGACAGTACTGAGAACCTTATGTTCATTAAATAAGACTGTTCATTGGTTTGTATTTCTTTTTTCCTTTTTCCATCATGTTTGCCATTTGTGAGGAGAAATAGGAATCCTAACTTATATAGCTTCATTGTTCTTGGGATACTCTTTCTTGTCGTTCATTGCTTTTGGGAAGGTCTAAAGTTTTGTTCTGTTTTGTTTTGTTTTTCCATAGAACTATAATGCAGATTATGAACTCTCAGCAAAGCAAGGGGCCGATACACTGGCTTACATAGCTCTACTTGAAGAAAAGCTTCTCCCTGCTGTGGTATGTATGCCTGAATTTTACAGCATTTTAGTGACTTCATTGAAAGTATAATCCCTGTAGAAGGAAAATATTGAGAAGAGATTAAAAGAGGAAATTTCACTTAGTTGTTAATCTTGCTTTTTCATACTAATGTGAAACTGGATGGTTAGAACTTCAGTTGGTATGTGATATACTAAAATGAAAGATAATGTTTAATTTTTTTTAATTTAATTTTAAACTATTTATTTTTTCATTGCTAGGTATTAATACGAGGGCCTTACACAAGCTAGGCAAGTACTCTACCACTGAGCTGTATCTACAAACCCAATGTCATTTTGAAAATAAACATTCTTTGTGGGATTTGAAACTTTTTTTAATCCCATGAATAGAATTGGTTAAATGGTAATTCACTCATTCAGCCAATATTTATTGAGTACCAACTATGTGCTATGTTTTGTTCTAGTTCTTAGAATATAACAATAACACTCATACATTTGAAAATTTTATATGAGATCATTTTATTTCACTTATGAAAAACTATCACATTGAACGATTAATAATAGTAATTGACTGAAGAAGATCCTGAGAATGTTCTTTTTTTCCTTTGGCAGCTTCACACATTCTGGGTTGAAACCGATAATTACTTCACTGTGACAAAGCCATGGTTTGCCTCACGAATTCCTTTTCCCTTGAGTTTAATCCTACCTGGAAGAATGTCTAGGGGAGCACTGAATAGGATTCTCTTGACAAGAGGAGAGCCTCCCCTCTACCATGTCCAAGAAGTGGAAGCACAGGTATGTTTTTGATTATTCTCCAAACCAGAGCTCTACAGGGAAGGGATAGGAGGAAGAGCTCAGATGATCTTAACCTAGGGATACTGCCTTAAAAGCAGCTTCATAGCATCCTTCCTACTTTTGAGATAAAATTTCATCCTTGTTAGATATACAGAGATGCCAAGGAGTGCCTAAATCTTCTGTCAAACAGATTGGGAACATCTCAGTTTTTCTTTGGAGATACGTAAGTTCATGCCCTTGAAAATCATTTTGATATTTTTGCACATGTATATTCAGTAAAAAGTAATTCAAAGCATGTTCCCTTACCCCTTCAAAAAGGAGTTTGTCACTTAAAGAAGGATTTGATATGTTTATTTTTTTTAGTTTTAAGAAACTTTTCATATCAGTGATAATTAACATTGGCTTGAGGTGTGGTATATATGAATTTAAAATATCAAAGGCTGTTCCTACCTTGCCCAAGTTTAAATTACACTTGTAAGGAAAAAGATGAACCTGTATTTTACAACTTAATTTTCTTCTCAATAATAGAGTATTTTTCAATCTACCTAAAGGGTAAACCCTGGTTGTATAAGTATTGTGAACTGAAATGGCTAGTAACTTTTTAAAGCATTGTTATATGCTTCAGATTTGACAAGTCTATTTGTAGAAAACTTCATTAAATCAGAATCCCAAGTTAATATTTTTAATGTACTTTAAAAATGTTACTTTATTTTTAGGCCTTCTACTTTGGATGCTTATGTGTTTGGTTTTCTTGCACCTCTTTATAAAATACGGTTTCCTAAAGTTCACTTACAAGAACATCTGAAGCAGCTCTCCAACCTGTGCCGATTTTGTGATGACATTCTAAACAGTTACTTTAGGCTCAGTCTCAGAGGTAAGCTGGCTTCTCATCAACTAATGTGTATTTGCCTTGAATATCTTCATATTCTCCCAAACCTCAGGCCTTGAGTATGCTAGGGAGGCACTCTTCCATTGAACTGTGTCCTCAGTCTTTGGGTGTTTTTTTTGAGACACAGTCTTGTTTTATAACTCAGGCTGACTCAGACCCACTATGTAATCCAGGATGGCCTTGAATTTATGATCCTACTGTCTCTGCCTCCAGAGTATTGGGATTACCACCATGCCTGGTTTGTGTATTGTCTTTAAGTACTGGGTTATAGCATAGAAGAAGTTGCATTTTTTCCAACTTCAGTATTAATCCACATGATAGTTCTTAGTTAAATAGAGACCAGACTAACTTGCCTTTTATTTGTTCCTCTGGATTTTATTTTGTTAGTCTCCTTTTTAAACATTCCCCCTTTGAAGTATCACATTTTCTTCTGAAAGATTAACAACCACAGTTATTGAGTCCTTGCTAAAATAGTATTTAACCTAATGCAAATAGCCAATTACTTTAAATGATTTATACCTGCTGCTTCTAGCATTTTCCTGCGTGAACAGAAATCAGTAGCAGATTGATTTTGGTGAGGTACACTCCTATGATTCCACTACTTGAAAACTGATTGCATCAGACTGGAGGTATATAGTAAGTAGAGGACACCTGTCACTTAGGCTATGATTCTTTTGAGTGTGGGGCCTTGTACTTAACTGATTGTAATACTAAATTAGTTTTGGGAGAGTTGGGTGAAATTGTCCACTTAAGAAACAACAGTTAAAACTAACTGGCTTAAGTGGACAGTTTATTTTTTAAGCTGGGTTATGTGTTTGGTATCTAGGGAGTATTAGTAAATTGGGAGACAATGAGCAGTGGCCAGAAAACCTGATAATACAGCAAAGCAAAATCTTGAGTCCGGGATCAGGCTTACAAAATCGGAATCTTTTAGGGATAATGCCCAGAAACTTGTTCTTTTAAAAATCCCTGTAAATGTTTTAACACCTAGTGGATAACTGTTTAGCAGTCACTGTATTACCACACTATTCAAATAGTTATGGCCAAAGACCTATTTAAAATGAATGAGGGAAAGATACAATTTAAATTTCAGAAGGAAAAGAGGAATGAAAGACTGCTGTGTTTTTACTAATTACTATGGCTAGCTGCATGTCACTTGGCTCATAGTCTTCATGAATGCATTTTAATCCTTTAGTTTCGAGTTTGGTTTTGGACATTGCCTCCTAACATTGCTTTTGAGCCCAGAATGGTTTTTCCCTTTGTCTATTTTTATGTTTTGGAGGGTGAGGTAATTGGGAGGGTTAGTAGACTCAAAAGTCTTTCAATCTAAACAGCTTTCAAGGCTTTCAAAATTTCCTATCTTTTTCTGATTTCTGTCCTGGCTTCTTAGGCATCTCTCCTGCTGGACAAGAAATGGTAGATGCAAATCTGCAGAAACTCACACAACTTGTAAATAAGGAATCCAACTTGATTGAAAAGGTCATGTTTACTTCAATCATTATTTTATAATAGACTAGTATTTTCCTTCTGTAGCCAATGTTGTAATTTGAGTTATGCATTAATTTACCTTCTTTCTTTTTTTTAGAAGTTTATATTTCAGATAGCATCTTAAATGTACTTTTACTAAACTGCATATAATTTAGTGTCTTTTTGTTTTGCTTTGTTTTTCTCTGTCGTGAGGCCTGAACTGAGGGCCTGGGTGCTCTCCCTCGGCTCTTCAGCTCAAGGCTAGTGCTCTACTGCTTGAGCCACAGTCCCATTTCCAGCTTTTTCTGCTTATGTGACGCTGAAGAATTGAACCCAGGGTCTCGTGTATGCAAGGCAAGCACTCTACCACTAAGCCACCTTCCCAGCCCTAATTTAGTGTTTGAAGCCAACAGTGGCCTATTTGCTGTGGGAAAAATAGACAATGGTGTAGGTTTATTTTTACCACACAGTATGTATCTATTAAGCTTGGAATCCCTAAAGATTGGCTTTATACAAAACAATGACAACACAAACCACAAATATTTTCTGTTTCCTGGGACTATAAGCACCTGTGCTGTCTTATTAACAGCACCATAATGTCCTTTTCTTTCTTCCACATGTACTTTTTTTTGTTTTTCTCCTGTGTGTCCTTTTCTGTTCTGAATGTAGTCTACATTTTTCCCCAGTATGGATGCTTTTCCATTTTAGGGGGTGTTTGTTTTTGAGAGAGATTTTCAGGAACAATATAAGGGAGAGAGCCAACAGTAGACATTTCAAGGGAAATTCTATTCAGAAAAGCACAAGAGTGTTGCCCTTTTTCTCCTCACTTGTTTCTTATACAAATGAACAGTGTTTTATTCTTTTCTAGATATATGGGGTTATCTCATTCGCCTCATAACATCTCTGAATGCCGATACTAACACTACCCATTTTATGCATAAGGCCTCTGAAGCTTTGAGAGTAGCTTTGTCACCTTTCCAAGGTCTCTCAGATGACAAAAAAGTAGAAAGGAAACTTAATCCCTAGAAATGTGCCTGTTATAAGCTTTCATTTATTTTCTTCAGTAGTCAGCCATCTAGCTGATGGATGAAATTACAGAACTGTTACTACAGACTAGATTTGCTAGTATATATGTCACTGTTATTCTCTGAATGACCTGTGGGGTTTTTTTGGTATTATTTCATGAATTATGATAATTTGAGAAATGAGTAAAATTGGGTGGTAAAATTGGAAGAGTTCATTATTATTAGTTTTGTAAGCTGGGTTAAAGCCTGATATGGCTCAGTTCTTTGCCCAGTCCAGTAAATCTGAGGAGTCTATGAAGTTTTACATGTGGATTAAGGAAAGATCACTCCACTATAGATTCTATTTTCTATATGTGGAGAATTCATGACGAATATGGAAAGAAAACTGAAATGTCCACATATTCAGCAGTAAAGCCAGGAGATCCTGTCACCACTTTGTACACATCTTTGTGGGACATCATCAGTGTATCAGAGTTCTCTGATACATTAAATTAGGCACTCCTTTTTGCTCATACCTGTTCTTCTGTAGGAAGTCTGTGGTTTGCTGGTCAAAACAAGATGGTAGAGCTACCAATCTTGTTAGCCATAGCTATTCACTTTGGGAGAAAATCTAAAATGAATGATGTTTGAAGACATTCTTGTAAGAAAAAAAATAACTCAACACCATTGACCAAAATAGTTCAGTGTTAATACTTTGTCCACTGGAAAACAAAAGTTTATCTTTAATTCTTATTATCCCGGTACCCCCGCCCCCCATAACCTCTGCCAAAATGCTCCCTCTGTGCTTTATAAAAGAATTTTGAGATGATTACGGCAGGAGAATCGAATACTCTGTACAAATACAAAACTGTAAAAGAGCCTGCCTATCAAATAGACAATAAGATGCTGTTTTCTGCTGGTGTTGTGTTTTGATGGCAGTTGCTTTAAAGTCTTTTATGAAGTTAAACTGATAGTGAACTGAACACAAGGACTTGAAACTTGAAGTTAAACAGATAGTGACTTCAACACAAGGACCTGAAACTTGCACTTTGTGGGATATTGTGATTAATAATAGTTTAATAACCCACTAGAAAAAGAACTACACAACTTTGTGGGGAGGGAAGTTGGAAGAGGAAAAACTGAGAGAGAATGGGGGGGTGACGCTGTTCAAAAGGAAATGTACTCATTACCTCACTTACGTAACTGTAACCCCTCACCTTCACAATGAAATTTTTAAAAATCTAAAAGAAAAAAAGAGTAGTTCACTGAGGGTCTGGTTGAGTGCTGAATAATCCCTATCCTAGTATTTGAAAAATATTAATATGTTTTGCTTTAAATCTGAAGTTCTTGGATGTTTTCTTAACATGTTCCATATTAATTTGTTTCTTTAAGGCAGTCTTAGAACTGATCCAATGTTTGGAGGACCTCAAATCTAAAGAATTTATTCTTTTTTCGCCATTATTAGTTTCCTTTAGTCTGCACACTTTTAGCTTGGGAAAGCTCATCCTTTTTGAGTGTAATATTAATCACAGTCATTAATTTAAAGAGGTATAGTTGAAAGAACAACCACATTGCAACAAATATCAGCCTTGGGGCCCGGGGCACATCACTTGCCCTTTCTGAACCTCATTTGGTTCATCTGAATAATAGGGAAGTATGATGTCTGCCCTTTTTTTCTTCTTGTTAGGAAAATCAAACAAGATACTGTACATGAACATACTTCATAAGCAGTGGACATTAGGGTAACAGAATTATTATTTTTAACTTTTATTTTTATAAACGCCTCTTAAACTGGGTGAGCTATGATGTAATTTAGTATTCATTTTGTGGAGTTAGGGTAATTTTGTGTAGGTATCAAGAATGAGCCACATTGCTTTTTTTTTACAGATACTGAGTCAGCTGGTATTTGAGGTATGACCTTTACAATTCTTGAGAGACTATTTGTAAGAAAAAGATTTCTCCAGCAGTTCTGCAAACATATGGTTCTCTGCTGTAGTTTGGATGGGGAGGCCACAGTCCACATAAGTGGTGCCACAGCCTTAGTCAGATGTATCTTTTATACTTTCTACAGATGGATGACAATCTTCGCCAAAGCCCTCAGCTTCCTCCTCGGAAACTGCCAACACTTAAATTGACTCCAGCAGAAGAAGAGAGTAATTCTTTGCACAGGCTGTCACCCTGACAGTTATTGTGCTTTGTGGCCAAGTCTTATGATTGTCACGGTAATCTTTTAACACCACGCGTGTGAAGGCAAATAGAAAATACCATTCATAGGTATAAGGAAGACTAATGCAAAAGAAACTTTCTATGACATTTGTTTTTTTCTTTTAACTAAAAAGCTTGTATGCTAGCTTGGCACTGCTTTTTAAATAAAGGTGAATGCTAAATGAATGTGGTGGGTGGGGAGAGAAAACACATTGTACTTTGTATGAAAAAATGCTGCCTTAAACTTGGCAGATTTTTGCCTTTTGCTCATATGTTACTGACCAAAAGCTACAATTCTGTTCTGAATGTGTATTCTTAATTTATTCAAGATAATTTATTCAATTTATTAACTTGGTTTTCTTATACTTGTCTGTATATATAATATATGGCTCTTTGGCAGAGACTTTATTTCTTCTGTTTAGAAATCTGATGCCTATTTTAGGATCTAGGAAAAATATAAATTACTTCATTTCAGTAGAAAGGCCTGTATTTAACTTTAAGAAGCAACGAGGAATGTGATTTTATTTATGCTCATACGTCTAACCTTTTGGGGATTTAGAACTGCATATATAAACATTAAGAGTGGTTGCATATTATATTCATCTTATGAATGCACTTCAGAATAGCATAATTTTTGCTGATGTGTTCCTTATAGGTTAATAAGTGGTCTTTTAGGGGTCTTTTAGTTTACAGGGTAAATATGGCAGCTTTAGATGTATGTATTTATAGAACTTTTCTCATTCATGTATTGATTCCAAAACTGAATGTCTTGGTCATCTTTATTGTGTTAAGCTGTAAACCTTACCCAGTTGTTAGATACTACTCAGGAGAAGCCTATGGCCAGGGTAATTGAAACACCTACTGTGCATCTGGTCTGTGTTCTCTAGGCTTGACTCAGACCAGTGTTCTTTCATAACATGCATATATGTAGTCACTGCTTTCTGATGACTAATTGTGTTCCATATATTTTAATTACTGTTGAGGATCCAGAGGAATAAATCTGAAATAGCATATTTTTATGACTATTTTCTATTTATTGGCTGCTGAATTGTTCAAGGATTTGCTGTGTGGTAGTTTTCCTTATAATAGAAACTTGCTTATTTTAGTGGTTGAGGTGCTTCTGTTGTTTTAAATCCCACTTCTGGGATTAAAAAAAAATAGGACTCTGTTTTTTATTAGTGTCCTAAAAGATTACTATGGTGCTCAGCAAATCTTACCGAGTCCTGCAGAAACCCATATGTTAAGAAAACAAGCCTTGTTGTCAAGAGACTCATAATTTGAGCTGAGTGGAGGTCACTTGTGTTTGACCCTCATCCTCCCAGTTCTGTATTTAGGTAGGTGTTTATACACGATACATTTGTTTTTTTCTCTTGATAGTTTTAACTATGTGAGAAACAAGGTAATCATGGTGGTGAAGATTAGATGCATTTAGTGGAAGTACCAATGAGTTTCACATTACTTCTCTAACAATGGTTGTATGTGGTGGGGGGGAGGGAGTAAGGAAGGGGTGGGATTGGCTATTGTTCATCTTCAAAGGCAGTTTGTTACTTCAGCATTCTGAAATCTGTATGAATATTTTATGTTGGAAATAATGACTGTGATTTATTATTTTCTAGAATTGATGAATATTGGGAAAGAATAGTTAAGCACATTAATCAGACATCTGTTTATGCTTTAGTCAGGGTTAGTCATTTTCAATTATGATTTGTATTAGACCTTCCAAAAAGCATTTGAAGTGGTTTACAATTGTAAAACACATGTAAAACAGGACAATTATAATTAATTTCTGAAAAAAAATTGTAGAAGAAAAAACTCTTATCAACAGTAACAGATTATAAAAGTGAACAATACATCTGACCTCAAATCTCTCCATAGATAAAAAGAAAAGATAATGCTAGGTTATATAGGTTATTCTTTTAATAAAACTACAAAAGGCTGTGAGGAAGGAAAATGTTTATATATTTATAAGAATATGGGAATCATGTTCTCATGATACACAGAATTCAACTAAGAAGTACTATGTGGTTTCATATGTTGAATTTGACTTAAAAGGGTCATTTTAACATAACAAGTTTTTTTTTGTATACTATCAAAATGATTTGTTTACTTTTTGGTCATCTCTGCTTTGCATTGCCTATAACCTTACATTCTATTATATATTGTGCTTCCAGACTATCACTTCTGAGATGCAAAATGTAATTTGACAATTTTTATGTTGGGATACTTGAGTTTTCTTTGTATATACAAATGAAATGATAAGAAAGCTATAGCTGAGCATAAACTAGGAGCCAGCCACACATAGAGGAAGCTCTTGGACAAAAATTTTTTTTTTTCTTTTATGCTACACAAGGTCTATAGACACAGTGTCAGGATGTTTTTTTTGGATAGTTTGAATTTACTGAGAAAAATGGTCCACAACCTTAAACAGAATACTGTGAGCCATTGTCTTTTACAGGTAATGGTAGAAGATAATATGAAAAGGAGGGAGTATGCTTGTGTTTATTTTTGATAGTATAGGATTTAAAAAATGGCTAGATAATTTCCATAAGAAGAAAATCCTTCACCAACAGCCCATATCAATCATGCATAATAGTAACTACTTAACACTAAAGAGACTATAAGGAACATTAAAGATGGTTTTTCTTTCAAAACTGTTTTTTGACTTCATCAAAAGATTGACAATAAATCAAATTTCAGCTTAGGTGTGCTTGAATTTTTTGGGGGGGGGTACTAAAGGATGAGAGATTTTATAAAAGCATGTATTTTTGTTTCCATTTATAATATTGATCCATATATTTTCATATCTATACATATATGAAAGAATGGGAAGGATTATTTCAGTCATAGCTAAGTTAAAACTTTTGTACATCAATGAAAATTGGAAAACAAACACCAAAAGAGATAAAAACTGGTAACAGTAAGGGTTTGCTTAGAAAACTAGGGATTCAAAAAAGGATTCTTGAATTTGATGGTTTGTTTCTTTGGTGCTCCTCTGAAAGCTTGCATTTACCAGGCCTAGTAGATTTTGGGAGCAGTTTTTCATAAGCTATCAACAACCTTGACCTTTTTAGAATGAACATATAAATGCTTGTTTATGGACAGGAAGCTGAGTAATGGGGGACATGCAATATCTCCTATTTTTATAATGTCTTGTGAGTCTCTATTTCTAAATAAAATGGTTTTTAAAGAACAAAATTCAGTAAATTTATCATTATCTACATAACCATGATTTAAAAATGTAATAGTCCAAACATATTTAGTTCCAGAAATATAATATACATAATATAAATTAAATATTTTTAAATAAAGGAAAGGCAGGGAAGTTGGGAATGGAGGGAAGGAAGAAGGGAAGGGAAGAGAGAGAGGGGAAGAGAGGGAGGAAGGGAGAAAGAAAGGAAAAGGATCAGGGAAGAGCGGGAGGGCAATGTAAAACCAAAAACATCTTTTCCTTGGGATATCAATAAATCTGGTTTTTTTTCTTTCTAATTATATGCTTTTTCTATGGTAACTGGGGCATTTTTGATAATAAAAGTTTTGAAAAAGTTCTGAATCTTCATGCACTAGTTCTGTGTTGTATTTATCATCTCCAGATAGACAGTTTGAGATGTTCACTAAGACACCACCCCCCATGAAGAAGGTGTGACATGCCTATGTGCTGTTTTAAGCTCAAAAGGAGTTTGTAATTGACTTTGTTTTGGTTTAGTTATTTTTATAATTGGAATCCTGAGCAGAACAGTAGAGATGGTTTGGGTTGTGATGATGGTATTATAAAAGATGTTCTTAGTGGTAAGAAATATTTTTAAATCCATTTTTTTGCTATTGTGCAGCTGTGTGGATTTATATTTACTTGTTAGTGTCATTTTTTAGATTTTTTTCAGAAATTCATTGGTACAGGAAATCAACAGTCCATTATACTCAGGTTTAGTTGAGTGTTATTAGGGCTTCAAAATGTTGATTTTCATAGAGATATATGAGATAATTTTTTTTTATTATTTCTTGCTTTGGCTTTTAAGGGTTTGCAAAGTAAATTAGAAATTGTTGGGAAGATAATAACTACTAGCAGCCAGACTATCTGTCTTAATAAGACTAATTAATTTAAGATTGAGAGAGAAGCATACTCTGGGAAATAAAGAAAGATGCAGAAATTAGTTTTTCCAGAGAAGTATTCCATGAATTACTAGAGAGAATGAACATCCTTGTGCAATGAGTAGAGAGGGGAATGTTATAATAGAAACTTATTCAGAGCAAAATAGTTTTTTTTTTTTTTAAGGAACCCCCAAAAGACAGTTCTAATTGTGTCTTCATTAATTTAAAATTATAAGATTTAAAACATAGCATCATTACATATATTGGTGAAGTAGTTCCTTAAAGAAGTATAATAGATTTTGTCAATGGAGGTTTCCTGTAGTCCAATAAGTTTAGAAAATGCTGGACTAAGCAAAGTTAAGTTACTATAGACTTCTCAGAACCTTGGATGTGCATTTCCCATTCTTCAAGCTTTGGAAAATTTTCAAGTTTTTATTTCATTACTGAAGAAATAGTCTAAACAATGATTGCATGTATGAGTGTGCCACATGCATTTCATAGGAGGAGCATTTATGGTTTTCATTAAGTGCCTCTATTTCATACACCATTTGCCTAGTTTGTTTACACGTGGATTTTTAAAATAGATGTTTAGTTGTGGGATTTGTGTTCTGAGAAATATACTTGTGAAAACGTTGCCCTAGAGTGTTCGCCTTGCCCTCTCGTGACAGTGATAATAGGAGACAAATCAGGATTCCCTTGGACCATGGACTTGAAAGGCCAGATGTAGATTCGTTGTTATTTAGTTTGGGGGGGGGGGGGGGGCTGGTTAATACAGCCCTTTCTCCCAGAGCTCTAGTAAACCTGGCAAGGCTGGGTAGGGGTCTGAACTGGTGGTTTGTGTCAGGAACAGTTATTAGGCATCCATGAGGCAATGGGAACTAACTTGTAATTCCAGAACAATTTTCCAAGCCTTTTCTGCTTGTGCTTTAAAAAGTATCAAAAAAGACAATGGAGATTATTATAAATGATTTTATGTTGCTTCAGTGACAAAGCAAATAAGTGTAATAGTTTCAAGTTGTTTTCTGTTATTAAAGTCATAGTCTAAACAAGGATTATGTGTGTATACTTCTAGGATGGGAGTTTATAGTTAACATTTAATTAGCAGACTCTACATCTGAAAAAATGTAAACTTCACAAAGCCTCCAAATTTCAGATAGATTTTATTTCACTTCAGAGTGTAAAACCAGACCACTAATGAGGCACAAGGATGTTTTTTGTTTTTTGCAATATATACATTTTCATGTTTGGAGTTCCATGTTTCGGGGAAGTGTTTGTATGAAGCTTGCCTTAGGCTTTGAGTTATGGTACAAGGATGACATCTAGCCACATGAAAAGGTCTTCTGATTCTTCAGCTTTTCTTTTGCAAATTTAGAAAAGTGTCTTTTAATCATTTGGTTTACATATCCCAGATCATCGAAAAATGACTTGCCAGGGTTTGCATCAGTCCTCAACAAGTCATGCACTGTGAAGAAGGCTGTCCTAGCCATTTGTTCTTCGGACCATTTGCTGCTTCTCCTGCCTTCTTGGCAGCTATCTTTTGGAGAAAGAGGGACATACTCAAGGTTTTAAGTAAGCTGCATAAAGATGAATTTTATTCCGCTTATGAATTTATTTTCTTCCTTTTTTGAAAAAAAGGAAATAATATCCTTCATTTTTTAAATTTATGTCCAAGGAAAATTATGACTTGATTGTAACATAACTAGTTTTTTGGAAGATGGACAGAAAACAGGAAATATTTTATATTCCAAATGGTTTTGTCCCATCAAACCTATCTTTGAACTGTAAACATTTTAAACATCTGTTCTAGCATGCAAATTCTAGTTTCATTATAAAGTAAACAGTCTTAAAATAAGCTATGTTGGCTATAATATCAGTATTCTAGCCTTGCTTAGTATGGTTATATTTTACTCAGAGACTATGTATAA